TTTGAAAACTTCTGTTCATGTCTTTGGGCCCACTTGTTAATGGGGTGGTTTGTTTTTCCCTTGCTGATTTGCTTGAGTTCTTTTTTGGATTCTGGATTTTAGCCATTTATGAGATGTATAGTTTGTGAATATTTTCTCACATTCTGTAGGTTATCCATTTACTCTGCTGATTATTTCCCTTGCTGTGCAGAGCTTTTTAATTTACTGAAGTCTTATTTATTTATTTATTTATTTTTGTTGTCACATTTGCTTTTGGGGTCTTGATCACAAATTATTTGCCTAGAGGAGTTTTTCCTGTTTTCTTCTAGAATTTTTATAGTTGCATACCTTACATGTAAGGCTTTTATCCATCTTGAATTAATTTTTGTATAAGGTAAGAGATAGGGGTCCTGTTTCATTCTTCTGAATGTGGCTGTACAGTTTTCCCAGTACTATTTATCAAATAGGGCTTTGTTTCCCAGTTTATATTGTTGTCAGCTTTGTTAAAGATCAGTTGGATGCAGGTAGATAGTTTATTTCTGGCTTTCTATTCTGTTCCATTAGTTTACATCTTACTTTTAAACCAGTATGGTGCTGTTTGGGATACCATAGCCTCATAGTGTAATTTGAAGTCTGTTATGTGATCCCTCCATATTTGCTCTTTTTGCTTAAGATTGCTTTGGCTATTTCAGCTCTTTTTTGGTTCCAAATGAAGCACAGAATCATTTTTTCTAGACAGTTTTCTAGATCTGTGAAATATGATACTGATATTTTAATCGGGATTACATTGAATCTATGAATCACTTTGGGCAGTACAGACATTTTAACAATGTTGATTCTACCAATCCACGAGCATTAGATTAGATGTTCTTCCATTTGTTTGTGTCACTTGTGATTTCTTTCATCGGTGTTTTGTAGTTCGTCTTGTAGAGATCTTTCACCTTCTTGGAGAAGCACGTACCTACGTATTTTATTTTCTTTGTCGCTACTGTGAATGATACTGACGCTTTGATTTGACTCTCCACTTGACTCTTCATAGTATATAAAGATGCTACTAATTTCTGGACATTGATTTTGCAACCTGAGACTTTGCTAAATTTATTTGTTAATTCTAGGAATCTTTTAGTGGAGTCTTTAGGATTTTCTAGATACAAGATCATATTGTCAATGAAAAAGAATAGTTTGACCTTCCCTTTCCTGATTTGGATACCCTTTTTTGCACCTTGTGTACATATATTTATATACAGACATAAACCTTCTGTTTTATGTATGTAAGCTTCTCCTAAGATGACTGATTTCCCAATAACTAACAATGTCTTGAGTGAACTGATATTATTCAATTTTTAACATACACATCTGAGAATCTGAACCCAACAATGTGGGGCTCTGAAACTCAGTCTCTATAACCATAATCAATGCAGCGACACTTATTTTGTCTTGCAGGACTTGTTTTATCCTGCATTTTTCTGTCTTCATTTAGATAATGTCTCCCAAGGGGAAAAAAAATCCTAGGAAGAAATTTAAAACAGATTATCATCTTTAATAGAAGAATTTCTGAATCTCTGAAAACATGGTAATGCCAGAGTTTAGCCTTTATATTTGGAAGGCCCCATGTATAATTTAGAATGGAGAGGAAAATATTTGATACTTCCCTAGAACCACAGACTCCACATTCATTTCATCTTTGAGTCTGGATAGTTTGTTGTACTAGTATTTTTAAGCACTCTTACAGAAAATAGTGTAAATGAAATTGTTACACATGGAAATATACATTTATAATTTTGATACATTTTGCCAAATTGCTGTCTAAAAGGGTTGGTTCCATTTACATTCCAACAAAATATTTGCTGCCTCACATCCTTCCCCATATTAAATATTATAAGGTCAACACGTTAAACTTTATTAGATAGAAGGAAAATGTATCCTTATTTAATTTGCATTTTCTGAATTGAGAAGATATTAAATACACTATCATGCCAATAGGCTATTATGTTTCTATGTTTCTTTCCAGTATCTGCCTATGAGTGTGTTTCAACCATGATTCCATTTAATTGATGGTCTTTTGCTTATTAATTTGCAATAGTTCTTTTGTTTGAGACAGAGCCTCAAGCTGTCCCCTTGGGTAGAGTGCCATGGAATCACAGCTCACAGCAACCTCCAACTCCTGAGCTCAAGCAAGTCTCCTGCTTCTGCCTCCCAAGTAGCTGGGACCACAGGCGCC